GAAAGTAAGTAGAGGGAGAGAGAGAAATGAAAGGGGATAGACCTTATGGGGTGAACCCAAAGACATGCAAACAAAAGCCGGTCATTTCGTTAAAGAAACGGTAGATCTCAGTGTCCACAACTAATCCTCTGCCACATATTTAAATTCTATCTTTTGACTTGGGGTGTAGGGCCGTGGCTTTTCCCGGCAGAAACTCGCACTTATGTACTTTGTACTCAGTCATCACGTATCATATCCAGCAGTACTCGAGTCTAGATTATGGGATATACACAATGGATCATACACACATTCCCGCTACCGTAAGGTACGGGTTCTTAGGGCGCCCCAACTTCAGCCACTTGGAGAGCATCAGTTTTTGACATTCCGCCCTCGTAGTCGTGACTAAGCATCTTCTTATCCGGAAGGTGCTTTTCGGCACCTGTCGGCGGGTTGACCATTTTCGTTCTCCGCTCTGTAACAGCATTACATGCTCCTGTCTCTCCTTCCACTACCATACCACTACGTTACGCACTCTCTCCTCACCCACACTGCCCTCCTGCAACCACGGTAGCTCCCTGTTGGCGCTCTCGACACCCTCTCTCTGTCTTCTAGGGTACCAAATGGACTCTACGCCACCCGACACGTTTGAAGCTCTGACAAGCCACCATTGCGTGGCTCAAGCTTATCCTCCTTGTTTCACCCTCCCAGCCATGTCCACTATGGGGTGGTCGTAGAGCTGGTTCGGGTAGCGCCCGTTGGTGTTTTGGACCTCCAGGGTGCGTCGAGGCTCGCTCAGTTTTCATCTTCCTGCCTCTTCCACTCATATTCATCATAATGAATGATCCATAGCTTGATTCCCTTTACCATCTTTGCCACCTAGCTGTTCCTTAGCCTGTCCATTAGCACATGTACTAGTCAGATTCACTCTGTGACACTCGGAAATGGTCGCAAGCGTGCCGGGAGGCCAGCATGTTGCCATTCCCAAAAAGGTGTGCACATTCACAGAGTTCCGAGAATGGTGCTTGAACGGCTTGTTTCTCTTGACAAGCACCAATTGGAGGGCCCTCAGATCATTGTGAATGCCGAGCATTTCTGCAATAAATTCAAACATGAATCTCTCGGATCGCAGACTCGCAGCATTGCGTCCAGTTGCTTGGGGAGCTCGACCTCAAATGCCGGCGAAGATCGACCCTTACCAGCAGCAATTCCGCCTTTGTTCATAGGCAATGAAGAGATCAGCTCAAAGAAGGTATATTGACGCCCTGTTACAGCTATTTGCGAAACATAGGGTGTGGTTTTTTTTTCTTTTTTTCTTTTTGCAACATTTTGCTTAGAACGCTCACTATGAGCTCAATCTCGTCAGACTCCTTCGGGAGTAGGTGCATTTGACTTGCACTGAAAATCTCCAGGGATCAAGTACCAGCTTTTTTGATGTAATTATGTGTTGAAAAAAATTCCGAAAAATTATGGTTTCTATTAGAACAGCTGTAGTACAATGAATACTGGGCCAATTAACTTACACAGCCAGACACTGCATTCAGACCCCCCACATAGGCACAGATGTGCCTATGTACACTGATCCCTGTCTAGGGGTGCCTACCCCAGCCAGTGTTGGTCTACATTGGTCTATCACCCCAGCCGAGGCAAAGTCTGCCCGCCTTGGTAGATCTTTGCTGAAGGTGGTGTGCCTATCATGGCCTACCTTGGCCAACCTGGGTCCAGGGATGGGCAACAGGGGTTGGCACACTGATTTGCCCATACATCTGCCTATTGGGATCCGGCAACCTGTACCTACAGGGGGAGAAGGGTCTGAATGCAGTGTATATACCAAACACCCCTTGGCCTCCCCAACTATGACATTATGTAATCACTTTCCCAGCACGTGTATGCGCGACACGTCGATGAATGTGAGTTTTCAACCGTATTTATTAAGTTATAGACAGCATTCTAGGCTGGTGGGAGCACTGGTGGGAACGGTGTTCCCCCCAGACCCCCCCCTCCTTTCACCTGACGGCACATTATAAGAGTTATTTGTGTCCCCCCTTTCCCTGTTTCTTAGCTTAATCCTAGTGTATAAATTATTTTAGCGCGGGTGAGACCCCCGCGGACCCCCCTGAGACACTCACCGCTAGGCCCACTGTGTGGAGCCCTTTTTTTTTTTTTTTTTTTTTTTTTTTGTGTCTATTTGCTTTTTTAAAGCTTATTTCAAGAGCTGTTTCACTGTTTTGTTCCGCGGGGGATACCCCCGCGGCCACCGGTCACTACGTGGAGCTTGCGCTTGCTGCGGCCCCCATTGCGTGGTGCTAAGGGGAAGAAGAGAAAAAAGGGGGAAAAAAACTACGTGCTGCAAAGCTCGAACACGCGCCGCCACGCATTCCAAAAGACATAGTACATAACCACTAGACCACGGCACCAACATTGAGTGAGATTATTATGCGGTTAGGTCCATCATCGCCGAAGCCTCCTTCCTTTTAAGGAAATCATAGTGGGGGAGGCGTCAGCTTATATACCGGCACCAGCAGACTTTGTTCGTACGGATCCAGGAGTAGTGATCCCCACCGTATCCGTATATACGGTAGTACGGATACGGTTATATGGTACCGTAATCGTACCATATGGGCCCTTTCGACGCTCTATACGGTTACGGTTGGTCCCCTGCCGTAACCGTAATAACCGTAAACATACGGTCCGTATACGGTGGTTTACGACCGTAAATTTGCCCAACATGGTTCGAATTTGAACCCATCGGCCGGCCGGAGCCGGAACACGCATGAGGCTTCCTGCTATGCCGCCTCATTTGGCAGAACGTGGAATGTTATTTCTCGGATCAAATTGCCTTTCGTGGGCGGCCGAGGTGCGGAATGGCCACTCGGCTCGACTTCGGCATCTATTTTGTCAAACTGTCAAACACAGTGGTTGAATTCACCGCGTTCTCTCTGACACTGCACTTCACCGTTCTTTCTGAAATGTTGAAGACCAACAGAGACCAATCAAATAAATGTCCATAATCAATCTTTCCTTTCATTTGTTACATATCAATGGTACACCGGCATTCGAGCATATTATCATGCCAATGCAAGGTAATTTTTATCTCTGGATGTGCAAATTGAGGATCGTGAATTTGGCCAGGCTCTGCAGTTGCTGTGGAATGTGGTTGCTCTGGCAGAGATACCACCTCTGTGCGGTGGGCCAGATTGAAGCCAGAAACTATCTGAACTTTGGTGTTTTTGAAGCATCGCCTTCGTTTGAAACGCGAGAGCCTCGAGACCCTTCTCCAGGAGGTGCAGCAGGTGTAAATATCTGCTATTTATCTTCCTTTCAATTTCATTCATTTTATACGACCGTATACGGTCGTAATGTCCGTAAACGCACCTACCGTAACTGTAAGAGGCCTCGGAAGCATTGTTACTCTCGGAGATGGTGGTTGACCTCCAAAAGACATACTGCACAGCCTCGAGTTGACGTCTATTGTTCCCGTGCGTTGGAGTTGTTTGGACACAGCCTTCATCAGGAGACTTCATGGCCACACCCACTGCTTGCCCACTGCAGACCCTGCCCTTCCGGTGGAACTCGAGAGAGTGGCCTTCGAAATTGCCGCCTTCAGTCATCCAGAATGCGTACCAGTGTTGCTATTGGTGGCACGACGCGTTAAAATATGGTACAAATCAGTCATAATTACTTGCGCGATCCTGACCCGATTCATTGGCGTAGGATTGAGCCTTTCATGTACCAAACCCTCTCCATCCATATATCCGTCTCTTCTCCCAAGATTTTTCGTCTCCCGTTGCGTGCAGTCGCGAAATTAATCACTGGGAAACCAGCGTCTGTAAGAGAGCACACACGCCATGTATGCTTCGGGGACATAAGATGGGCCAATGTGATTGTCGACTTTCTGTCCAGATGCGAGGCTACGACCGATCTCGCCCTTATTAATACTCGTCTGTGGTCCCATCCGGATCTCCTTCGTGTTCTCGGGCCCCTCCCGTTGCAGCGCTTGTCCTTCACCCTCAGGTCCCTGGATACAGTGTTTCCGTGGCCCAATCCATTCGATGGAAGTCACCCGCTGTTTTCTCGAATTACCCATCTCGACATCCAAGACTGGCAGATTGATGAATGGCAAACCTGGTCCGGACTCGCGCAGATTCCCAGACATACGCACCTTTCTACTGCCAACTTCATGTCGGCTGCTGTAATCCAGGGTGTTTTGAAACACTGCACCCAACTAGAGGTACTCGTTATGGTGTACCCGAATCAAAACCGGCTCGATGAAGGTCGGGTGCGCGCAGAGTTGAGTGACGATCCGCGCATCGTGCTGTTGATGATCACAAATCGTCTAGTCGATTGGGAGACAGGGGCGCGGGAAGGCGAAGACTATTGGGTCAGAGCGAGTGCGTTAGTTAAACAGCGTCTATCTGGTGGAGATGACCGGACGAGATGAAAGGTAAGATGGTTATGCTTGCACGCTCTCTTTCACTTGAACTCATGTCCGGCTATTCTTTTCCAGGGAGCACTGCTAACAATTCTTAATCCTTGAGTTGATTTGGGGTCGTATCAAATGCATTTTCCTGTTATTCCAACGCCGTTGAGGCCTCAGAAAACGTTAAGACAGTACCACCACTTGCACCGGGAGTCAATCCTGATCCTCTTAATCCGGCGTCAAGTACGAAAAGTGAAGGAGCGTGCGCCGTACACCACGCCGAATAACTTCCTCCCTCTGCTTCTTAACTGAATATACCTGAATTCGATCTAATCGTGTGAGCACAAATAGCTTGCGGCAGGCGGTCAGGAGTATCGCCCTAAAAGAAAAACGGCACAAAAAAGTTTCGTTGAGGGCTAGACATTGATATTGAGGTGCCGGGAATCGAACCCGGTACTCTCCCATCTAAGTTGCCCCGACCCAACAGGAGGAAGTGCGCGCCGTACGCCACACACAAGATGTACTTGTACTTCGTCTACTACATAGCTCGCCACCTTGTAGGAGTTGAGCGCGCACGACCAAAAAGCTCATTACCAAGACCTCATTCGGGCGCCGGGAGTCGAACCCGGATTTTTCCCTCCCAGTCATCGTGCAACTCAAGCCAGCAAGAGGGAATGCGCGCCGTGCGCCACGCCCGAGGTGTACTTACTCCAGCTCTCGTGGGTGAATAGCTCCACATTTTGCGTGTTGAAGCTCGAGTGCGTTCTAATGAACTCGAAGCGTGCATCCCGCGGCGTTTAAACTGCGAGCTTCAGACTGAGATGCGCTTCACCTGGCTGGCATGGCAGTCGATGGCAAAATGGATAATAAAAGTATTTGTACAACGATGGACATTAGAATGGTTCCTAGTAATCTTGGCCGTTAGATCACCCGGTATGGGTACTTCTCCAATACAAAGTCCACCAAGACATCTGGACCGTTAACGGACCTCACCTCCTCCAGCATCGCAACCAACCTCTCATTCTTCTCGTAGTCCTCCAGCCACCAGCGGAACCATGAGTTACTCAAAAACTCCGTTCGCTTCTCCCCTGTTAACTCCGTCTCGACCAGTACTCTGAGCCGCACGATTCTCCGACGCAAATCGTCAGGATCGCATCGGTGAAATTCCAGCGTCTTCTGCTTGTGGCCCATGTTCTTCGCCGCTACCCACGGCAAACCGGCGATAATCTCGCGGAACCCAGCGCTGAAGGGATACCTGTTCTTTTTCCGCCGCGGGAACCGCAAAGTCTCCTCCAGCAACCTCCATCCAAAACGCAGCTGATACTCTGCGCGCTCGTGCACGCCATCTACGAGCATCGTCGCAAACGCGGTGAGTTCTTCGCCCAGACGGGCGTGCCCATGCTGCGCCAACACGCAGCGGTTGCACAGCAGCGTGTCGAAGACATCCTCCCCGCCCAGCAGCTGCCGGCGGCGCTCCTCGAGCATCAGCCGGGGTGTCGCATGCGCATACGGCAATCCAACACGAAACGCTCCGAGCTCCTGCCAGACTGCGCACCCGGGGCATCGCACGTGGTACAGCGTGAAGAGCTCCGTCCGCACCTCATCATTCCATATCCTGAACAGCAACGGCGTCATCTCGAGCGGCATCTGCGGGAGCAGGCCCGGGAAGTACCTCTCGAGCGCGCTGGGGAACTCGAGTCGCCGGCTTTTGAGTATGGGAACAGCGACGGTACCGGCGTTTACGCGCGTCGGGCGGGTAAAGTCCCCGCGCTGGAAGCGGCATTCGTTGCAGCGCCGGCGGATGCGGTGCACACCCCCGAGAACAGCCTCTGAGCAGGCGTCGAGCTCGTCGGCGCCTGCCCCCGCCTCGGTGCTTCGTTCCAGCTCGAAGCGCACGGCGGCGCGATCCTCTTTCTCACGGCGTGCGCGCTCCTGAATGCGCAGCCCGCGCGCCTTCGCGTCCCCACCTGCCAGCGGCTCCCAGTTGGTGATGCGGTCCGCCTCGCGCGAGCCCGGCGGAGGCTTGCGCCGGCGCAGCTGCAGGAGGTTCTGGTTGGAGAACCGTGTGTGTGGGAGGAGCTTCATGCAGCCGACGCAGGCGAAGCGGATCGTCTTCCATGCTTCGGCGTCGTCCCAGGGTGGCGTCAGATTGTTATCGCTGCTGCGGAAGCGCACGATGCCGCCGAGATGGGGGTCTAGCTCGAGCGCTAGAAGGCGCTGGATGAAGTCTTCCTGGGATGGCTGGATGAGTGCGCGGAAAGCGCGTGACGACTGCGAGAGCGAAATGAGACCGATTGGGTCGAGAACGCGGACGATGGCGCAGAGGAGTTCGGTTGGGAGAGAGGAAAATAAGAGACTATCGTCGTCCACCGGGAGTTCGTTGACCATATGGAAAGGATTGAGGTTTGACCAGGAAGTGAAAATGGAGTCAACTTTCAAGAAGCAGCGCACATCAGAGCAACGCCAGGACGGGACGGGTTGGCCCGTTGACGGGGGCTGTGTTACGCGGCGGTGTTGGTGGCGGTGTCGTGGGCGCCGTGCGCATCGATTGATTCTTCATGTCCGGCGGACATGCCCTTCAAGTGCTCATCCAGTAGGACGTACTGTACCATTTCGACCGAAGGTTCACAATTTTTGGATTTTTGGATGTCCGGGATGGCCGATAATTTTTCTTTCGATTATGTAATAGCGATTTTTGCACACATCAAAAATCTCGGGTGTCACCGTCACCTGAACCTTCGGTCGAAATGGTACAGTAACGGCCACCAAGCCCACAATATTGAACTGGTTTGCGTAGAGCAAGTAGCGGACTAGAGACTCGGCATCCTCTGACTCGCTGAAAATGTCGGAAAGGATGAATCCGCGGCTTGGACGGAAAGGTGCGCAAGCGAGGGCTTGAAATCCGAGTGCCAACGCAAGGAATGGATAAGCATCTCGCATGACTTAGGCGGTCCATGCCTTTTTTTTTGGCCAGGTATACTGAATCTCCTGAATTCTCTTGCTATCCTATATCGTAGGAACATCGAGGGAGGTTCTTGCTTTCATTTTCACAGAGTAAAATCTGCTTTGCTTACGCGGGATCTCGGAGACCTCTGGTAAGCCTCACGAATCCCGCAACCTACACAGAATACCTCCTCATACTTATCGGCACGTATTCCATCCCTCTGTGATATTTCTTTGCCCGAAATTTACACATGTTCCAATTGCAGTTCACAAGTGAGCACTGAGCACCGCTTCTGGTACATCACCTTGCTTTAGAATCAGAATCAGCCGGTGGACTGGGTACAAGGGGCCGCCGGTGACCGTCTAAGGGCGGGTCTAATAGCAGCAGCAGGATGATCTGGGGATTTTCTGGCTTTGGTGGGAAAACACGCTCTAATAACTCAGTGCGGCGGAGCGAGGAAGAGTTTGACAAGTCTACATCTTCACCTTGCTCAGCGCTGATTTCATGGTGCATACCGCGGGTGACTCTGGAGCGGACCACTCTTACCATTGAACAAGGTTTTCAGGTTGCCGCCTATCACCGCCCACGCGGAGTGACAAATGGGCAAATCAGACATTATATGCAGGCTCCCTGAGTACGTTTCGAGCTCATTCTTTTTCCTCTCCCTCTCTCTTTCCCTGCGAGGCAGGTGTTCAGTGTTCGGTTTTGAGTTCTCGTTCTTTTTTTCCGTTTTTCTCTCTCCTTCTTTTCGCAATGGTGAAGCCAGGCTTTTCCGCGTCTACTACTATTTTCGCGTTCCTGATTTTCAACGGTGGGTGGCATCCGTTGCATTGAAATGAAAGCAAAGTCATTGACACGCAAAATTCACCCAGTTTCGGCGTCCACTGTGACGAGGCGGGAGGCTGTATCTTCTCGTGCGAGTGCGGATGTCACAGGTGGATCCAATACGACGTCGTCACCGTGCGCCGCGGAGTGCAAAGCGCCCCATCAGATTCTCGAGGCTGTACGCTCCTCAGCCCCGAATTTCTCATTATCTGAATTTTTTTCCTCTCTTTCGGCAGTCATGCGGCAATGATACGAGTGTTAACATCCCATGTGGATGCACTAACGTGTTCTCTGTCGCACAAGAAGTGTGCGCCCGATGCCAGCTACCACTCTCTGGAGACTCGGAAAATCTGGCGAATAATCTGCTCACCCAGCGGAAGTCCTTTAACGGTGAAGCTTTTCAAAAATTTCGAACCAATCTCATTATGCATCAGCATTCCAAAGCGCGTGCGCCCAAGCCGGCCGGCCGATTCTGGGCATAAATTTGGATGGCATCAAGTTGAAGGACAACCGATCCATCAGCTTCACGTTCGAGGCCCCGTTGAGCATGTCCGACCCATTGTTTCAGAATTACTTGAGCGTCGTTTGTCTCAGGGTATGAACACTATCGGACTTTGTTTTGAACCATTGCTCACGGTATCTCCGCCAGCCTGACCAGATCACCGTGTACGCCCAATTCAGCAGATCCGCTGGCCATTTTACTGAAGCGTTTTCCATCATGGCAGTGATCAATGTTTTGTCGGCGAGGTGAACTGGATACGCTGCCCGAACTCAGATGTTGCTGGCATTCTCGTGCGATTCTCCGGTAGGACCGGTCGCTAAACTCTGCGGCCTATGCTGATCGTGAATGCTCAGCCTACATGGCCAACTTGCTCCTCGGCATCGTCCTCATGTACCACCCGGAGGAGTCCTCGACGGCCGTATGGACTCAACTCCTGACGGTCTACTCCCTCCTCATCAGCGGTCTCATCGCTATCGGCGGAGCGAGCATGTCGCGCTTCCACTCCAGCATGACCATCTTCCTCGTGATGTCGCCCTTGGTACGTACTCCCTCCTCCCCTCGCCCCGTGCGGAATCTGAACCCTCATAGTCCTCCACCCTCGTGGTGTACGCAATCCTTGGCTTCTGTGGGCGGTCTCATCGGCTGGACATTATCTTGTCAAAACGTCGCGAACACCTCATACCGCGTCTCCTTGTCATCATATTCGCCATCATCTCCCTCGCCCTCGTGATATTTACCAGCACCGCCAACATCGACCACTTCACCGCGAACCCGTGTGAAATCGACGACTTTTACCAAACCGCCAGAGGTGTTGCACAGGTACAGTCCGTGTTTGTGCTCTACGTACCTCCACAATGATATATTCTTCCTTTCTTCCTTCTTCCTTCATCCAGAACTTCCTCTTTATCCCATATGCCGGCGTCCTTTTGCTCGTCCTCAGTCTCACGCAGTTCGGAGATATGGCTGCCGGCCTCGTACTCATACTGACCCCATTCCTCATCCTGGTCGTCGGCTTCATCTACGCCGTAGTTAAGCAGAGGCACCTTCTCACCAAACAATTCCGGGTGCAGAATAACCGGTGGAAGATCTGGGTGGCCTGGTGCGTCTCTACATCCCCTTCCTACATATTCGAGTGTTTTCCTCACGTCGCATGTAAATCTTAGGGACGCCCTGGCTGTGCAGTATCCGCTGCTGCACTTCTGCGGCGTGTTCTTCATACCCATGCTCTACTGGATTCTTGTGAACGAGCTCCGTACCTTAGATACACCGGACAACATCTTCTCGGCCTCTTTCGGGCAGGTTCGTCCACCACATTATTCAACCTGATCGTTAGCTAAAGTTCTGTAGATCCTTGCGCTGTTCATTATCCTCCCGCCACTGATCCAGGTAATTCATATGGCCCCGAAGGCGCGGGAATGGTTCATGAA